AGTGACCACAGCTATGTCCACTGGATCAGGAGTAGGGGAGCTGTCCCCCCTCTATATCCCTGCCCAAGCAGTGGTCCACCTGGCTCCTGGTATTTATCTATTCTCCTCCGTTGCAGAGCCAAGCACAGCACCTGTGTGTCTACTGGAAGTGCTGTAGTCACTTTCAGCCCACAAGCAGGTTGCTCTTGCACACAGGAAAGAGAATGCTACAGTCTTCTTTGTCACAAGGGGTGTCCCTTTGTTGCACTGCACTCTCACTTTCTTTCCTTTAGGAACACCACTCACTGATGGTTAAACTGCTGGGAATGCTGTAGCTTCTCTGAGTCCAGCACGCTATATATGACTGCCACATCCAATCAGGTGCCAGGTTATGTCTGTGCGGCTCTGGGGTTATGGAGACACAGGGCTGAGGTTCCTGGGTAGGATACAGTCCCCATGTGAGTGCACTGCAAGTAAGAAACCTACCACTGTAGCTCAGTTCCAAGGAGAAGGCAAATGACTCTGATCAAGCTAGTAGTTTGGTATACAGCCCTCAAGAAGTTCTGAAATCTCCTCTCACACCAGTGTGTGTGTTCACAAGGGCCGAGGAGCTCTCTCACAGCTTGGATGCACATTCTGATCTGCAGGGAGCCCAAAAGACTCCTACCAACACTTTCTATGAAGTCCCCGGATCCTAATCAACCATTGCTAGGCTCTTGCTTCTATTTTTTTCCCTGCTTTGGCTTCTTAACAGGATTTTCTTCTATGCTCCAGCACCCTGTCTTTGATATTTTTCAAGTTATGATCATTTACCTGTAACTTTGGTTCTTGTCTCTGAGGAGAACTGTTGTCCAAACTCCTTAGTCAGCCAACTTATTTTCAAAAGCCCTAATTCTGGTTTATGTTTGCAACTTTAAAACTGTAGTCTCAGTCTTTTTTAATATGAGAGAGCAATTTCATACTTTCAGTAGAAATATATAATATTAAATTTCATAAATGTCAGTGATTAGAAGTAGATTCATCATAAATAATTTGAATTTACAAATTAATTTTTAGAACAGGCACATTTTAATACCATAACATTTCTCATAAAGTTTTATTTCCATTTACACAGCATATAAAATATAATATGTAGCATTCTTTTCATGGAAAAGGATTTATCTGATGCCCCTCTGTATGCATAACCCAACATCAGCCTCACTCTATTGTGGCCCATGTAATCTTTACTTTGGCTATGATTAATTATATATTATTATGAAATTATTTTATCTTTTTAAAGAACAAGAATGCAGTCTTCCTAAAATCGATGCTCAATTAGTTCCTGAACCCAAGAACGACCAGTTTAAAGTTGGAGAGGTGGTGAAATTCTCCTGCAAACCAGGATTTACCAGAGTTGGAGCTAATTCAGTTCAGTGCTACCACTTTGGATTGTCCCCTCAACTCCCAATATGTAAAGGTGAATGTTTATCTTACAATTGCTGAAACAAGAATTAAAACTTTGAATAGTTCTAATTCTTAATTTTGTTTGAGCTTCTATCATCTGTAATCTAATGACTTAAGTCAAAGATTTGCCTCTGTAGGATATGGATTGGAACTGAATACCGGAGGTTTGGTTGCTTAAGTTAATCTCCACTCTTTCTTGAACGATGTACTGGAAGTATTCCTAGACACATAGGTGTTGTCTGTCTTAGTCTATTTTATGTTTATGTTTCTACAAAGGAATAACTGAGGCTGGATGATTTATCAAAAATCATCCAGCCTCAGTTATTTGGCTTTATTTTTATTTGGCTCACTATTCTCATGGCAATAAAATTCAAGATTGGGTGTCTGCGTTCAGAGAGAGCCACAGACTGCTGGTAGAAGGGGAAGAGGAGCCAGTGTGTGCAGAGAACACATGAGGAGAGAGGAAGCAAGAGAGAACAGGGAGGTGACAGGCTCTTTTTAAGAGCCAACTCTTGCAGGAACTAATAGAGTGAAAACTATCCCTGAGTGGGGTCTTTCATCTATTCATGAGAGGCCCATACCTATGACCCAAACATCTCCCATTAGGCCCCACCTGAAACATTGTGGATGAAGTTTCACCACAGTGTTGCGGG